TAAGCCGCATCGCTTGTACTAACTACGTTCAGAATGGCAGCGAAGCCCCCCCCCCCCCTCCCCTCTCCCTCCCCCTGTCTTAATTAACAGACCAGATTTAACAGCAGCCATGATAGTGTTTGACCGGCTAGAACCCGAGTGTTGTCCCCTTTCAGTGCTAGCACTCCTCTTTGTCATTCCGCAAAAAAAGAACGATAAAAAGTCTCTTCCTGCATACACACACACCCCGTCTCTCCGCCAGGCACCCGCTCGGTCGGAGTTTGCTCGTATTGTTTCCCTAGAAACCAGTCGTTATATCGTGGCCGCCCCTCGCGTGAGCCCTGGCTGGTGTGGTTACTGACTGTCACGCATAGCTCACCTACAGAAACACTTGCTAGACGACGGCTTCGGGCACTTGAGCAGTCTTATGCACAGGAGAGTACCGGCTGGACCACTGTAGGGGTTATACATCGGGAAACACACACAACAGGTATGTGTTCGCGTGTCCTCTTCTTCTTGTTCATATATCTTCTTGTTCATATATCTTATTATTGTTTTATCACCTCTTCCTCTCCTTTTTCTTTTTGTTATTATTAGTAGCAGTTTTCTTCTTCTTCTCCTTCTTCTTCTTCTTCTTCTTCTTCTTCTTCTTCTTCTTCTTCTTCTTCTTCTTCTTCTTCTTCTTCTCAGCCATTTTCGGTCCAGCGTATCCGATTTCAGCATATCCTTAATTAGCTACCTTTGACGAAATGCTTTTATAGATCATTTTGCGTATGTCTGTTTCTGTAGAATCCCAAGTTGCATTGTGGTTAGTGCTTTTCATTGACGAGGTGTGTATATAACGGCTGCAATCCCCACCTACACTTTCGATTACAAACAAAATATGCGTTGTTTTACCATTTATTATTACTGATGTCTGTTTGCTACAAATATTCCACTCGGGTTACGTCTCGCTGAGCACGTAAAGCTTGTTAAGAGTATTACCATAGCGAAAAGAGCGATCGCTGAATGCCTACGCTACTCGTGCAGAAACTGTAACGTGAGAGAACTATCAGTTACTTATACTACTGTGCTAACTGCGCACGCATACTCTCAACAGCGAAGTGACAAGAAGGAGAATATCACGTGGCACCATCCAGCGTAATCACAATTCAAACCCTTAGTTTTTGTCTAGGCCGCTTACACATGCGAGTTAATAACACCTCGCTATTGGTGCTTTACTTAATAAAGCAGAGCCTCGAGTGCAATCCTCATAGCAACAGGATCATTACTTTGGATAAGGCTGACCCAGCCTTATGAAACGGGGAATTTAATTGCTTGTGCGACTACTGATCTGTTCTGACTGCTTCTTCCATCGACGATGAACTACATTTCTAAAGCCGGGCTATTTGTGTTGGTAATTTTCATGGATGCCTTGCATATTTAATGCGTATGCATGCTGCTAGATTTGCTGTCTATGTCATTTTCCATCCATTAGAAACAGTAATGAACTTAGTTTGTGGTTTTTATTAGCACGGGAACGGAGCAGATAGCCTATGTGGTGACCCGTTCACTGTGTAATTAGAACTGTGATACCTGATTACTTGATCGTGAAACGGGTGCCGAATTATTTCTAAGATGGGTTCTTTTCGACTTTTTTTTTACCGCATCTACGGTCCTTCGGTATAGGGGGTTAGGGTTAGTATTAGTCCCTGTACGTTTAGCGGTAACTATATGACTCTAAGACTGTTATCTTTTATGTGGGTCATGTTTTTGGTTGCCCCCCCCCCCCCCCAGCGTTTTCGTCATTTATTGCGTCATCACTTCCAGTGTGTGTTGCTTTCGTTCTTGCCTCTCCATCACTGTGTCCTGTTTGACAAGCGGCTTTTTTACTTCATGACTTCGTTTTCGCCGTGAATGCTCTTCGCCTGGTTTCTTTTCAAAGCCCACCTCAAGCGGTCCCCAAATCCCATTGCACTGTCTAAGATCTGCCTAAAAGAAATACCGGTTCAGGCCGAACTGTACGGGTCGCGTAGTAAATATACAAGATACAGCATTTCATATATATAGATACCCCCGTGTGGGTTCCGGGGCCCCATTATGGGGAAAACAAGAATAGACCCACTGCCTCCCCAAAAGCATGTCGTAAGAGTCGACTAATTGAGGAGCTTCCTTTGAAGTCGGAGTGCATCTAAGGAACCAACAGTCTGTATTAAAGATAATGAGATCTGTAAAACTGATGCACACGCAACACTCAGCTTCTAGAGCAGGACTGTAGTTCAGTAGTGGACGAGCAACCAGAACCTTCCGCCAGAGTTTACAGCTGGTGAACGCTAAGAAGAAGAACAAGATATATAGATAATTTATTTCGGGCGAACAAAAGAAGAAGAAGATGAGAGAACTAACCCTAACCCCATCTCTTAGATATTCAGAGTTAAAATATAAATAAGTAAGTTTAATATAATATAAGTATAAAATATAAGTAAGTAATACTCTAGCAGTGGATCGCAAATTGTTCTTCCCCACACCGCCTAATGGCAGAAGTGGAAATTAATGGTGATGATTTTATTGTATAGTCCATCGTTAATCTATTGTTAAACTACATCTTTAAAATAAAGGATCCCTTGGCTAATTTAATATATGCCAGGTGAGATTGTCACATAATGCTGGCGTCACGTATCTTTGTTAGGGCTTCCCCTAATGAATCAAAAGACACTCTGAAGTAGTTTTAGTGTTAAGATGTTGGCTGGCAATGGTCTAGGTGGTATCCCGCAGCTTTAATGAACATCCAACATACTTCAGGGGTGAGGTGACTCAAAATATGGCACTACGGAATCAATAAACATTCATAGTCGCAACGTGGACTGACTTCCCCACTACTTTTAAGCCCCCAGACTAGATAGTAATCCTATGCTAGTCAGATTAACACAGTATAATATAAAGTATAACAATACAACAGATACTCCAGACAACTTATGAACTGGGAAGGGTGGGCACTAACCACAGAATGTAAGATAACAAAACATCATATATCAGTGTAATATGTGTAGGAATATAAAGAAAAGAATTCAGCAATATCAATCAAACCAGCTATGGAAGCAAAGAATATACTACTCCAGATGGACTACTGGTTAGTCCCTAGCAGTAGCCATTGTCATCACTGCCAAACTGGAATTTTGGACCTAGGGAACTGGCACTCCCTGTTAGGGTTGACTGCAGTTACTGGCCTACACCACCTATCTGTCCAGGATGTCCAGTTCAGTTGAGTTGAGGCCTCCTCTCACATCTGGCAGTGCAGGTATGCAGTCTTGTGAATTCCCACTTTAAGATCATGGCTCAGCATTCACGACAGTTAGCAGAAATAAGACTGTCTGATAAAATACCACTAGGAAAGTCTTACAATTCCAGGGTATCTCACGGAATATGGGTTCGAATAATTAAAGTCAAAAGTTATGATTTGTGCCACCCTCTTTTCGTGACAGTTGTTGGTAATCCCTCACATAAAAGTCTTTTGGGTTGAAGATACAAGCTGATGGTGCACATCACAGAACCAGGCAGTTGTAGGCTATGGAGCCACAGACATAGTACATGGGCAGAAATTAGTTGTTCGCAGAGGATCCCTCCTTCTGTAAGCTGGATGTGGGTTACACTGGATAGTGCTAGGATACTGATCATCGACTTGTCCTCCAGATGTGACAAAGAGGAAAACCAGAGCTAGCAATCACAAAACACTATACCATGTTTACCACACATCCATGTATCCACATAGTTTTAGCGCAGATGTCTGTCTAGGTTTTTATATATTGCATAAGTCTGTAACAGTCATATTATAAAATAGACATGTATTGTCCGAGCTGTCTATAAACCATTGAAGGAGTATGAGGAGAGAATTTTCCACGGTTTTAAGGGAACCCTCTAGTTATGCGCCCTCCTGCAGTTTTAATTGTTTGACAGCCAGGTCTCGTTGCTTCACATAGCCACCTCTTTCTTATACTCATCATCAAGGCCGAATGTATGGCACTAATATTCCATAATATACTTACACATGCTCATAGACGTTCCCAGGTGAATCGGTAATTCAAACGGAGGTAAGCAGATAGATAGAAAAGGCAGCAAGTCGTCTATTCACTCTAAAAGCTCAGTCAAGAATAAGTTCAAACTAATTGTCTCTCCAGCTAGAGGTGGTAGGGGATTCCTCTGCGTCCAAAGGGGTAGTTAGGCCAATGGAATTTGGCTTCTCTATCAACGAATCTCCCACCTATATGGCTGAATTAAATATGTGTAATTCCCAAGAGAATTATGAGAAGATTGAGTACTTAACCCGACATCTTGACACATAAGTACAAAAGAAGGACTATTTATCTATGGAGGAAAGTCCAAGTTTTGAAAAAGCATAATTTACATAGAGGTGACAAGATGTGGGTAGGTTCATTACCAGAGGGGTGGTGGGCTGTCATGTGACAGAGATGTTCACCTTAACTTGTGACTCTGTGAATGTGTGTATTTTAATCAAAATGATTATCTGCCTGCTTCATTAGGGGTTCATATAATGTATGTAGTGCACACCCGATGAGATACACAAAACTATAGATGCTGAATTATACATGATATTGTTTGTTTCCTTATTTGTATTATTATTTTGTTGTTGTTCGACTAATCCTGCTAGGAAAAAAAATTTAATCTCAGTCTGGTGATCATGTGAGATGGCGAACCACATCGCCTACTATTATGGAGGTAGCATGTCAGTGAGATGATGATTAACAGTGTTCTGCTGTTTGCGAATCAGATTTCTAGCTTTAAATGTTATGATGCTTAGTTCAAACTTGTTAAATATGATAATCCAAGACCTGAGACAGGTGGCAACAAACTGCCAGACTTGGAGAGCTATGTCCTCTGCCTTATGCGCCGTTTTAGGCTCAAGAGGAAAGACTGACTGACTCTTGAACGTTATTTTTTGCCTTAACTGGACTATTAAAACCTAATTTTTATTTTTCTCCTTCAGATTTGGCCAGAAGCTACATATTGAACTAAACCATCTGAAAATGTCTGATCTAGGCAACGTGGGAGGGGACTTCAGTCCACACGCCATGTCACAGCAGGCCCAGAGTTACTCCCTAGGGAGTATGGATATCATGGATGAGATGACAGTTGGAGGGATTGGCAACAGCCCTGAAGATATCTCTGAACTTGACCGATCAGTGGATAGCTTGGGTCCCATATTTCCTCCCCAGACTTTCGAGGTGCCCGATATAAGTTATTCCAATAGCGTGAGCCCAAATGCAGATTTCAACCAGTCGCTGTTGAGCTCGGCTCAGACTTATGGCAATTCTAGCAATATCTTTACGAACGTCGGTGCCACTGCTGGGCGTCTTAGTGAAGGGCAGCCGGTGGGGTTGCACAAGCAGCAGCAGCAGCAGGATGTTGGTGGTCAGCGGCAGATGCCATTCTTTCCTCCAGCGTCACAAAGTCCACCTGGTACTTCTAGCAGTGAGGATAGTGATGATCTTCCTTTGGCTCAAGTAAGGATCTTCTTGTTGTTATTGTTATTATTTCACAACCTCTTCCTTTCCTCCTCTTTCTTTTTGTTATTATTGGTGTTTTATTGTCTTCTTCTCCTCCTCCTTCTCCCCTCCTTCATATTCCTTATCTTTTTCTTTTTCTTCTTCTTCCTTCTCCTCCTCTTCTTCCTTTTTAACTTTCTGTGGTCTCCGTTTTGAAATGGTTGTCTGTCCCTGCTTTGAATATTTTGCGTTCTGTTTTCGACTCCAACCCTCAGCTGTCACATGCATGTGTTTGATAGACACTTGAAATTAATCTCTGGCGCTACAGAGTTTGTGATTGATGTATCAGTGGTGAAGAGAGAGAGAGAGAGAGAGAGAGAGAGAGAGAGAGAGAGAGAGAGAGAGAGAGAGAGAGAGAAAGAGAGAGAGAGACTCAAGGGATAAAACCAGACATAAAAGGTCGAACTTGTCTTCTTTCAACTTAAAAAAATGGTTTCCTTATGTAACTGTAAGTACAAGCTGCATTATTTTTCTCTTCGTTCATACCTGCCATTGGTTTTCAGACTTGAAGGCCCAAACCTCTGTGTGGTGCGAAGCGTGTCTTCCACTGCTCCACACAGCTTTTGTTTCCATGGGAATGCCAACCGGCCTAACCAGGGAGTTAGTTCTCTACTGTATGTAGATAGCATTTTTGCAGCGCGTGTGGCGTGCTGGCAGTCGAGCACCCAAACCAGCACGCAACCCCGATGACGCGGTACCAGCCCAAGCTCTGGTTAGATATAGCGAAGGCCCGTTTAGAATGAGTGAACAGTGCGGAGGCGCAGATAGATCGTTGGGGTCTAAGTAGAATGGCGCTGCGAGGAGTCACCCGGGGATCTGGCCGACGCTCAACACTCAGGGGAATAATGAGAGGGATATACAATCAGACGGTTGATGGTACCCTCGAAAATAGAACTCTTCACTTGCTGCTGAAGATGGGGACTGAGCTCTCATGGAAGTGTCCCGAGTGCTGTGATGTTGATTCTTAATTCAACAAGCAACAAACAAGCTCTGGTCGACAAACACTATTTTTTTTTAGTATCTAGAAACAATGAGTTGTAACCCTTTGGCTCGGTACTACGGATATCGCAACCCTTCAGCCTTGATTCCATGATAGATACCGTAAATCTGGGATAAGTGTGGCTTTTCTGCCTACACCCGGGCGTGAACCTGGACCACAAGGAGTTCGTCACCCAGTCGCCGCTGTGATGTCAGGTTTAACCTACTGTGCTAGCGAGCTGGGCACAGACACTGTTGAGTGAAGTTGAACGCCACTTGGGCCTCACACTGGGCAGTTCACACCCGGTGACGCAAAGTGTCACTGTTTGGACGAGAATCCCCTAGGTATAAATCCAAGAAACCTAGTACGACCATGAGGTTATATTAGGGCTCGCGTTGGTTACACAGTAACATGAAGTACAGACATTCAAGGCTACCGCAGCCGCCTTCAGTAATCAAGGCGGCCGTAGTAGGGCTGTTATTAAACACTTGAATGACGTCATATCGGAGATCTTCAAAAACAAACAGCTGCTCTTAGCATGATTCATGAAAACTATCCCGAACAGTCATGGATACATGTTTACACAGATGGATCAGCAACCAGTGCGGTTAAAAATGGGGGTGCTGGAGTCTTTATTACATACCCAGGCAACCACCGCCACACAAAGTGGATACCCACTGTTAAATTCTGTTTCAACTACACAGCAGAGATTGTACCACTAGAGCAGGCTGCCGAAATGTTACACAACACCAGTTCTGACTGCCACCAAGTGGTTATATTCACAGATGCGCTTTCAGTGCTTCAAGCCCTCAAGAGTGGCAAACTCCCTCACTTGAGATCTGAACTTGGCAAGGTGGCTGCCCAAAAGTGTACTGTACTCCAGTGGGTGCCATCCCACTGTGGTATAACAGGAAACGAAACCGCAGATAAACTTGCTAAAAAAGGGGCAGAATGTGACCAGGAAGAGAATGCAGTAACATACTATGAGAAGAAAAGGGCCATCCAGGCTATTAGAAGTGAACAGAGTCTGGCCAGAGATGACTACCACTTACATGACCGGCATGGACAGGTCATTGTCCTACGTCTCAGGACAGGACATAACAAACTTAACCAGCATATGCACAGGCTTCGTCTAAGTAGTTCACCTTTTTGCCCTTGTGGGCTATGTGTGCAGACTACAGAACATGTCCTGCAAGACTGTCCCTTGTTCAGCCCATTAAGAAAGGAATACTGGCCCAGTGAGTCACCACTGTACACAAAGTTGTATGGGACTAAAAATGAACTCATTAAAACAGTCAAGTTTATCACAAGAACCTGTCTGTCGGTTTAAATCAGAAAGCGAACACAAGAAGAAGAAGAAACGTTATATCAGTGCCAAACATGGACCCTTACAGTAACTTATGAGCGGAAGATCGTAACGACAGAGATGAGATGTCTTAGGAAAGCTGCCGGTGTGACAAGAGGAGATGATGAAATCAGAAAAGAACACATTAGAAGAAGACTAGGACTGAAACCAATCATACAGTTCATTAAAGAACAACAAATGAGATAGTTTGACCTCCTGACGAGAAAGCCCTGTTACCAACTGCCACAGAGCGCCACGTGAAGAAATATAATGAACACGGAGCAAGGGAGAGACCACGCAATATATGGAGCGACATCATCAGAAGCAACCTAGCAGAAATTAACACTAACTTGTACAATGCATTGGAAAAAGCGCACAAACGATCCCTATATCCCCCCCCCACCCCCACCCCTTCCAACCCAACACCTCGATAGGATAAATGGTGAAAGAGAAGAAGAAGAAGAAATACCTTTAACTCCCATCCGGTGTATATATGTGTGTGTGTGTATATTATATATATATATATATATATATATATATATATATATATATATATATATATATATATATATATATATATATATATATATCGGCACGTTCAACTAGCATCCCTAAAGGGGCAGCTTTAGGTTATAATTGTGACATGGTTATGTGCATTATATAAAATGGCTTCCAACCCAACATCTCGATAGATAAATGGTGAAAGAGAAATAGAAGAAATACCTTTAACTCCCATCCGGCATATATATGTATATATATGTGTGTGTGTGTGTATATATATATATATATATATATATATATATATATATATATCGGCACGTTCAACTAGCATCCCTAAAGGGGCAACTTTAGGTTATATTTGTGACATGGTTATGTGCGTTATGTAAAATGGCTTAGCATTGCACGCCACCAAGAGCCCTTAAAAGGACTCATGCAGTGTTAATGCCAGCAAAGCAGACGGACCCAGATACTGTCTCGACCGGCGACGAAGTCGTCTACTGGCGAGCCAATCGGCGACCCGGTCGCCGATGTTCTGTTAGTAGAGTTTCTGTATAACCATATTTACACACGTGCCCACTTAGTAATCAATCACACAGCGACCCATCTTTCAGCGATATTTCTTTTGCCTCCCTCGTTGCACCTTTGTTCAAATAAGCTTAAAAGCCCGCTCAACTAAAATAACAGCCATCTATTACCGCTTGTAACGGGCCGTTCTTCTTGGTATAATTAACCGGAAAGCGAAGTCAAACGCAAGTTATTGGCCACGCCGACATAACAGTTGATTTCTTCTGGTTTCAAATGAGTGCTTTAGACGCGTGCAACCGACGAGATAAAACCTAGCTGCACGTGAGGGGACCACATGCGCGCTCTTTGTTCTGGCTTTAGTGGCTCTGGGGAGGGAAACAGCTAAGGACAAAACTGTAGGACTCAGGTTTGGAATTTCCTCTGAAGTGTAATCAATTAATTGACGGCTGGCAGGACAAAGATGGGCTAACCAAGTTTGAAACTGGAGCACGGAAGGGAAGGACAAAAGGCAAGAGTCGGTGGCGGTAGAGTGGTAGCAGTGTGTGTGCGTGCGTGCATGCGTATGTGTGTACACGCGGCAGTACTCGCTGTAGACGACAGTTTGGCCGGATAGAGTCGGTTGTTGGCGTTTTTGGCTTTTGCCAGCAGTCACGATCGCTTCATTTCCCATCTTCTTCTTCTTCGGCATTCCGAGCTCCTGAGGTTCATTGCTGTAGATATCACCCGCCTCCATTCATCTCTAGTTGGCCTCTTTCCATTTGACGACACCAAGTGTTTGCAGGTCTGTCTGGACATTATCTCTCCATCGTCTTCTTGGTCTGCCTCGTGGTCTACAACCATTCATCTCTCTTGTGTATACAGTTTTCACTTCTCTGTCATCTGACATTCTGTAAACATGCCCTAACCATTTCAGTCTTTTAGCTCTCATGATGCCGGTTTTCGGTGGTATTTAAACAAATTATAAATGTCGTTGTTCCTTCTCACTCTCCAATCCCCGCTGTTTGCATCTGTGATGGGTCCAAAGATTCGTCATTCGACTTTGTTTGCGAAAACCTGTAATAAGGCTTTATTTCCCATGCTTAGCATTAGTCTTTTTCAGCCCCCCCCCCCCCCAATTCCCCAATTCCCCCTTATTCTCTGGCGGGGCTGTTCAACTAAGTTTACTCAGGGGCCATCATTTTGAACATAGGGATCAATACGGGCCTAAGGCTGGCAGTGATCTGCTGGGCACTTGCTAGGCGCCCGCGAGGCTCGTTGTATAGCCCTGTTGTATGGGATCGTTGTTGGTGCTACAGAGTGGATGCACTGTGTTCAACGATATAGGTGTTTATATAAGTAAAGGGATATAGTCATATGCTGTTAGACTTACATTTTTATAGACCAATCGGCACTCTGTGATGTGGTAAACATCACGCTGGCCGCTGCCTTACTGAGACTAATCATTTGTGTTCTCACACCAGCAGTAGTGTATAATCTTTAACAAATGCAAATATTAAAAGAAGCAATAATGTTGTACCTCTTTATAGTTGGCCAAGCGTGTGGTAACCAGCAGTGCTTCCACTACAAATGCTGCCTCCAATGCCTCGGCACCTTCTCCATCAGCGCATTCTCCTGATACAGCTTCGATGGAAGGAAGTCCAGTCTCTAACGCACCGCCAAAGAAAGCCAAGCAGACTAAAAAGAAGAAGAAAAAAGACCCAAATGAGCCTCAGAAGTAAGTAACTTTATGGTCAGTACTTCTCTGCTACCCTTCCTTTGGAGTAAACAAGGCAGGCGGAGAGAAAGATTATGCTCCATGCATGGTCTTTAAAATACTCCTGAGGCTATGTGTTGTGGAGAAAAGCACTGTGTCTCTGGCCCTAATATGCTGTGACTCCTATGCTTCTGTGCAGTTTGGAAGGGCCGAACGTAAGACGGGCCTGTATGCCCAATTTGTGACCCTTTGAAAGTAAAGTTTGTTTCTTCATTGGTTCATCTAGAAAGACAGTTCAGGTGCCAACAACGAGTAATTCTCAAAACATTAATTTCTTGTTCTGTTCCTTATCTGCCACTCAACAGAAAGCAACAAACAACAGTTTTCCATCTATGAGCAGGACACTGCAGGCTCAACTATCACATGCAAAAAATGGAAAATAGGAGAAACAACACACCCACCCATTGTCATTACCAGAAATCAGAACACTCGTCAAGGGAAAATACAAGGAATTGTGGAGAAAACAAACAGTAAACATTCACAAGACCCCATCAGCAGACTCAACAGAAAGCAACATACAACAATTTTCTGTCTACGAACTGGACACTGCAAGCTCAACTACCACATGCATAAAATAAAGATTGTACAGTCCCCACAGTGTGCCTGTCAGACAGGACCTCAAACACTTGAGCACATTCTGTAGACCTACCCACTCTACCTACAACTTCAAAAAGAGCAAAGTGTGCAGAGCAAGCTATGGGGAACCATTAAGGACCTGCTGCTGACATGCGAGTTCATAGAGGCAGCCCACCTGGTGGTCTGATCTGAGCATATGAAGAAGATCTGCCAGTGAACTCAGCTTATCAACCAACTCATGCCGTGTCACCTTCCTATCTTGTTCTCACCAGTCTTTAATTATCCTTTCTATCTTGTTCTCACCAGTCTTTAATTATCCTTTCTATCTTGTTCTCACCAGTCTTTAATTATCCTTCCTATCTTGTTCTCACCAGTCTTTAATTATCCTTCCTATCTTGTTCTCACCAGTCTTTAATTATCCTTCCTATCTTGTTCTCACCAGTCTTTAATTATCCTTCCTATCTTGTTCTCACCAGTCTTTAATTATCGTATCTGTGTATTTTTTCTCTCTGTGTGTGTTTCTTTCTTTGGCTGTTATTTCAATTTTCAGTAATCTCAGATCTGTTGTAATGCAAATGGTGTAATTTATTGAACTTTGGATGAACTTTTATGTTTGGCCACATTGTAACAATGTCTTTTGTTTTGATGGTAGCTGAGAATAAAGTGACTACTATGGTAAATTACAGTTTCAAGAATGTAATTTCACTATGTGGTTATTTAAATATCTCTTTTTTTGTGTGCATTGCCTTATTATTTACCTTCTCTTTTTCCGCTCTGAAACATTACTTATAAACACCATTACCTTGTAAGACAAAGCTTGAGCAACTCCACCATTGAAATTGATTCTAAGAATCAAGTCAGAAAGGCTGGGAACTACTCAATTAGACAGCTACTGGTGATTTCTGATTAGGGAGAAAACTGACCTTCCAAAATGCAACATCAGAGTAAATGGGTCAAAATCTTAAGCAAATGGACATGTTTAAGTACTTGTCAATTGAGTCGAGAAAAAGAATTCTTAAAAGCTATATAAATTCTATCTTAGTATATGGAAGTGAATCAAAGACAGTTGGTAAATTAGTGAAAACTTATTTGGAAGCTTTGAGATGTGGTTTTATAGATGAATGATAAGAATACCATGGACAGATATAAATAGTAATGGAGATGTCTCGAAAGAAACTGACCCACAAAAGTAACTGATGGCCCACAGAGGAAAGAGACAATCTATATTCTTTGTTTATGTTATGAGAAAGAGAAAACTGGAGTACAACATGACAATAGCAAAGTTGGTAGGGAGTAGAGGCAGAGGGGGGACCAAGAGAACAGATGCTGCACAGTTTGACATCATCCCATGGAAGATCATCTGTGTTGATAGAAAGTACATGAAACAGAAGGTTGTGGATAGAGTACCAACACCATACCACATGGACTTTAAGAAATATGTACATTCTAAAAAAGAACTCTGTACTCGCTGCTTCAAATGGTGACAGAGCACTTTCACAAATGCTATGTTGTCAGTTCTTGACTCAGCTCAACCTAAGGCTAAACCTGAATACCCTGTTCAACCAAAAAAAAGCTACAATTAGGGCACTCTTGATGGCTACACAAGAGATGAACCCTGCAATCCTGTGTGAATAAGGAATAATATCTTCTTCGCGTTCACCGGCTGTAAACTCTGGCGGAAAGTTCTGGTTGTTCAGCCACCTCTGGACTATAGACTTGTTGCAGAATATGAGTGTTGCGTGTAGATCCATTTTACAGATCTGACTTATTTGTATGCAGACTGTTGGTCCCTTGCCTCTCAGGCAGATGTACTCGAACTTCAAAGGAAACCCCCACTTAGTCAACTCATACGACATGCTTGTTGGGGAGGCAGTGGGTCTATTCTTGTTTTTTCCCACAATGGAGTCCCCGAAGCCACATGGGGATGGAATAATATTTCTTCTTCTTCAGAGATCTTTTGTCATACAAAAAACACTGTACACCGTACCTGGAGACCATGCAGCCCCGCAAGAAGCCAGGAAAGGACAGTCTGGCAAGACGTGCTGCTGAAAACATGCAGCATAAACACACTAAGAGGAAAGCTCGATGTGATTTTTTTGTGGGGGGGGGGGGGGGTGGGGTTGGAGTCCCTTTGCCAAATACTCAACTGGGTTGCCACCTGGGTGAAGGTTTGAGACCACTGTTCTAAAATAAGAATGTCCAATGGTCTTCACTTTGGAATCACCAAGTTAGAGTTACAGCTGGGGCAGAATGAGTTAATATTGTCAAATAGGTATGGATCCATGGCAGACCCCCAAAAATAAGAGAGATCTGCAGGTGTGTGCTAACAGGGAATCACTGAGTTAGAATTACGGCTGCGACATAATGAGTTAATATTGTCAAAAAAAGTGTGGGTCCATGGCAAACCCCCCCAAAAAATAAGATTGATCTGTGAGTCTTAGCTAACTTAGAGTTAAAGTTACAGCTGGGACTTAAGTAGTTAATATCATAAAAGAATTATCAGGTAGGTGAAGCTCACCAACACAGGATAGCAGCTCATCTTGGAGAAGGAAAACTCTTGATTTCAAACCTCAGGCAGATGAGGCTCACCAGCACGGGAGTGCAGCCCATCTAGGAGAAGGAGAACTGATTTCAAACCTCCACTGCCTTGTGGCCATAACAAGCCGTGAGGAAAACTCTGGAGCTGGAATCTCTAAGGCAGTTCAGCATTATTTACAGTTCTATTCTGGCAGTTGCTGCAACGTCCTCCATACCAAGTTGGATTGGCTTTTGCCTTTCCCTCGGTATCACTGGTGACATCGAGAGGGGATACCTGCTGCCTGGGCAACAGTCTATACTCCAAATCAAAATGCCCAGGCCTGTGCCCTGGAGAGGTCACTCCAGCGGTGCTTAACAGCTTTGACACAACACGGGAAGCAGCAGTCACTCTTTATTATCAAAGAAATATGGTTCCATGGCAGCTCTTCACAAATAAGAGGGATCTGCAAATCTTTGCTAACTGGAAATCTCTGAGTTAGAGTTACAGCTGGAGCATAATGAGTTAATATTCTAAAACAAGAAGTTAAAAAAAGAAATAAAAATTGCAAAATCTGTACCATTTTTAAGCAAAGAACATATGGTGATCCGCTTAGTACTGAAAGAGTTCAGACAAAGGGGAGTTAAATTTGTGTCTTTCTCTCTCTTTTTCAGACCTGTTTCAGCTTACGCCTTGTTTTTCCGAGATACTCAAGCAACAATCAAAGGACACAATCCAAGTGCCAGCTTTGGGGAAGTGTCCAAGATAGTGGCGTCTATGTGGGACCAGCTAGACCCAGAACATAAAGATGTAGGTCTTGAGTTTGGTACGACTGTGTGATTGATAGTATAGTATGTGGTTTTTTTGTGACAGGTTATTTTAAAATAAGCCTAATTCACATATATAAAGAAGGGGTATGTAGAGATGTATGCAAGCGGGACAGGAATGATACAGGTATTGAGGGGGACTCGTGAGGAACAAAATGTCATGGACCATGTTGTGTGGAGTTGTCTTATCTGGAAGGGAATAAGAATGAAGGAAGAAATTATTACAAAAAAGGATGAGAGTTGAGTGTCCGAGAAGAAACAGACCATACACAAATGTTTACAGTAGTGGTCATGAAATCTGATGTTATAATTGTGGAATCCTTTGAAAATCAAATACACAGATCTCATTGTCTTAACACTGTACATCCTACCAAAGAAAGTTCAAGATTAACCACACGCTCACTACAGAAGCCTGACAATGACCATGTGATGCTGTTTTTGTTTTTGTCTCCACTAGACAGGATTGTTGGTCTTAATTAGCCACTGCAGTATCACCTGTGTATATTATTTTAAAGCCACATGCTTATTTTATCACCTAAGATTGTGTTTTCTTGTGAAGCTGACTGATTCTCCTTCTTGTTTAAACTGATGTTTCTCATGATACTTTTTCCTCCCAATGCACCAGGTTTACAAAAAGAAAACAGAGGCTGCCAAGAAACAGTATCTGAAACAGCTTGCTGCCTACAGAGCAAGTCAGGTGTCACAGGTAGGCCTTACTTGCCATGACTGGTGTTGTAGCAGCCATGTTTGGTGTTGTAACATCCATGAGTGGTGTTGTAGCAGTCATATTTGGTGTTGTGACATCCTTGACTGGTATCATAGCAGTCATATTTGGTGTTGTAACATCCATGACTGGTATTGTAGCAGTCATGTTTAGTGTTGTAACATCCATGGCTGGTATTGTAGCAGTCATGTTTGGTGTTGTAATATCCATGAGTGGTGTTGTAGCAGTCATATTTGGTGTTGTAACATCCTTGACTGGTATCGTAGCAGTCATATTTAGTGTTGTAACATCCATGACTGGTATTGTAGCAGTCATGTTTGGTGTTGTGACATCCTTGACTGGTATCATAGCAGTCATATTTGGTGTTATAACATCCATGACTGGTATTGTAGCAGTCATGTTTGGTGTTGTAACATCCATGACTGGTGTAGTAGCAGTCATGTTTAGTGTTGTAACATCCATGACTGGTGTTGTAGCAGTCATATTTAGTGTTGTAACATTCGTTAATGGTGTTGTAGCAGTCATATTTAGTGTTGTAACATCCATGACTGGTATTGTAGCAGTCATATTTAGTGTTGTAACATCCATGACTTGTGTTCTAGCAGTCATATTTAGTGTTGTAACATCCATGACTGGTGTTGTAGCAGTCATGTTTAGTGTTGTAACATCCATGACTGGTGTTGTAGCAGTCATGTTTGGTGTTGTAACATCCATGACTGGTGTTGTAGCAGTCATGTTTGGTGTTGTAACATCCATGACTGGTGTTGTAGCAGTCATGTTTGGTGTTGTAACATCCATGACTGGTGTTGTAGCAGTCATGTTTGGTGTTGTAACATCCATGACTGGTGTTGTAGCAGTCATGTTTGGTGTTGTAACATCCATGACTGGTGTTGTAGCAGTCATGTTTAGTGTTGTAACATCCATGACTGGTGTTGTAGCAGTCATGTTTAGTGTTGTAACATCCATGACTGGTGTTGTAGCAGTCATGTTTGGTGTTGTAACATCCATGACTGGTGTTGTAGCAGTCATGTTTGGTGTTGTAACATCCATGACTGGTGTTGTAGCAGTCATGTTTGGTGTTGTAACATCCATGTCTGGTGTTGTAGCAGTCATGTTTGGTGTTGTAACATCCATGACTGGTGTTGTAGCAGTCATGTTTGGTGTTGTAACATCCATGACTGGTGTTGTAGCAGTCATGTTTAGTGTTGTAACATCCATGACTGGTTTTGTAGCAGTCATGTTTGGTGTTGTAACATCCATGACTGGTGTTGTAGCAGTCATGTTTGGTGTTGTAACATCCATGACTGGTGTTGTAGCAGTCATGTTTGGTGTTGTAACATCCATGACTGGTGTTGTAGCAGTCATGTTTAGTGTTGTAACATCCATGACTGATGTTGTAGCAGTCATGTTTGGTGTTGTAACATCCATGACTGGTGTTGTAGCAGTCATGTTTAGTGTTGTAACATCCATGACTGGTGTTGTAGCAGTCATGTTTGGTGTTGTAACATCCATGACTGGTGTTGTAGCAGTCATGTTTGGTGTTGTAACATCCATGACTGGTGTTGTAGCAGTCATGTTTGGTGTTGTAACATCCATGACTGGTGTTGTAGCAGTCATGTTTAGTGTTGTAACATCCATGACTGGTGTTGTAGCAGTCACGTTTAGTGTTGTAACATCCATGACTGGTGTTGTAGTAGTGTTTGTTAGTTCTGTAACATCCGTGGTTAGTGCTGTGACAGCCAGGATTGGTGCTGCAATAGCCTGGATTGGTATTGTCACAGTCAGGATTGATGCTGTAACAGCCAGGATTGGTGTTGTGACAGCCATGATTGGTGTTGTACAAGCCAGGATTGGTGTTGTGACAGCCAGGATTGGTGTTGTAAAGCCAGAACTGGTGATGCAATGATTGATGCTGTAGCTATCAGGTTTTCATTATTTCCCTTCAAAAGTCTCAACAGCCAAGTCTAGCTTCCATACACTATATATAAAATATAATGCCTGTGTGCGTGCATGCATGTATGACAGAGAGAGAGAGGGAGAGAGAGAGAGAGAGAGAGAGAGAGAGAGAGTGAGTGAGTGAGTGAGTGAGAGAGAGAGAGAGAGTGAGTGTGAGAGAGAGAGAGTGAGAGAGTGAGTGAGAGAGTGAGTGAGTGATTGATTGATTGATTGATTGAGTGATTGCTTGCAGGTGTTGTTAGATAAAAAATGGACATTTGTATGTGCATTTATGTCTCTAGCTGTGTATGTTATTTCTGTATAATAAATTCTGTAATTCTGTATGAATCTGTGGTTGCATATGGTTTATGATGGCATAGGGTTTAGTGCACTTGTTTATTTGAACAGTTTGGTTCTCAAACTGGAATTGGGAATTTTATTCTTGTCTTGTACTACTCTTGCTTGGCACAGACTCATCAAAATAGAGATTAGAATTTTCTGGAAATGTCAAGGAAGGGAAGGTGATGAGGAAGGTAACACACCATCCAATCTCATTTATCATGACCTACAATATGTGAAGGCGTAATGCCTCATACCCCAGTGGCAGATGATGCTATGGGGCTTTCTTTACAATTATTCCTGTGTGGGTTCAGATGCTCCATTTTTGGGGGGGGGGGGGGGGGGGGGGGGTAGACACTCTGCCCTCCCACACTATCATGTTTTAGAATCAGGGGTTTTCCATTTGAAGTCAGATTGCATCTGCGTGAGAGGTGAAGAACTATCAGTCTGCATAGAAATAAAACTGAATGTGTAAAATGGATGTGCATACAAAACAAGTTAAGGAATGTTGAATTAAGAAACAAAATCATAGCACTTGGGTGCGCCATGCCCATCTTCAGCAGCAAGCGATGAGTTCCAATTCTGATGGTATCAATAACTGTCTAACTGTGTACGCGTCTCGCCTTTTCCTTGAGTGTTGAGCGTCGACCAGATCCCTTGTTAACTTCTCGCAGCACCACTCTCCTCACCGTAATGATTTGTCTGTGCCTCCGCACTGTTCACACCCTGCCAAAGGGCCCCTCACAACATCTAGCTTGTCATTCATCAGTTCACCATGTGATACAGAACTGGCTAGTTATCTCCCTCTCATTTTGCAACACACTGGCATACCCTGGAGAAAATATCCAAAAGGACGCTACCTACCTTCAAGTTCAGGAACAAGACTAAAGTCCAGAAGTGGATGAACAACCAAAAATTTCCACCAGAGTTTACAGCCGTGAACACTAAGGAGAAGATGGAGATCTTTATTTGAAATGTTTAAATCAGTCTCTTTTTTTTTATTTTACAAATACCCTGGGGTACTCAGCACTTTTTGTGGGCATGCTCTCTATGACAATGGGGAAATGAAGAATTAGAGAAAGATGCTTAAAAAAGCTTGTCTTATAACATAGTGGGAGTCCCCGTGGCGGAGCGGCTAGATGCTCGCCATGGATTGGAAGGTCGAGGGTTAGCTCCCTGGAGGAGCCAGACTTTTTTTCAAAATTGACCTTGGCTCCCAGGTTGACCTAGCCTTGAGTGGGTACCGGGTGCAGTCCCGGGAAGTATTGGCGGCTGGCGTCTATAAAAATATAGGTCTAGCCCTATACGCCTAAAGGGGTCGAAAAAAGTCCTTTACTTTTTAAAAATAACATGGCGGTGAACGGTCAGCAAACTTTGTCATGTCTGGATGGGTTCATATCTTTTGCAGTCTGCAGCAGATGAGGCAGCTGAGAAGTCTCCATCACCACCTGGCCTGACAAACCTGACGGGGCCGGCCAGATTTCAGGCTACTGGAGGATCAGGTACTGAGACAGTTAACATTTTCTCTGGGTCTTTTCTGAAGTGACAGAGTTGAGGCAATTGGGGGGGAATCAGGTACTTTGTTTGATGATAGATGGTAGATTTCTGGCCACTAAAGGTTCAGATACTAAGACAGAACACTTTTTCTGGGTCTCTATTAGAGATCAAAGATTTCAGGCCACTGAAAGATTAGATACAAGATGGAAGGATAACATCAGAGAAGCTCTACAACAGCACAATGTGCCTATGGTCGAGGCGGTCATAAGAGCCAGAAACAGAAACTTATATCTCCCTCGACACCCACAGCGGTAAAAGAGGAAGTGAAGAAGAAGAAGGAGAAGAAGAAAGATTAGATACTAAGAAGTTAACTTTTCGTCTGGGTCTGTATTAAAGATCACAGATTTTAGGCCACTGAAGGATTAGATACTAAAACAACACTTTTTTCTGGATCTGCATTAGAGATCATAGATTTCAGGCCACTAAAGGATCAGATAACTAAGACAGTTAATTGTTTTCTCTGAGTCTTTTTTGAGGTCATTTATTTAAGGCTACTGGAGGTTCATGCACTGAGACAATTAACTTTTTTCCCCCAAGTTTCTTTTGAGGTCATTGATTTGTGGCACTGAGACATTTAACTTTTTCTCATGGTCTCTTGTCAGGTGGGTTTTGTTGTTGTTAAAAGAATACTCACCTAAGGCGAGACAATGAATGAACTTTATTATTCAGGATTCCTTACAAAACTTAGAAAGGTTATGACAAGAAAACGAAGCATTGCCTGCACTCTGAATCTCCCTTTTCATCAAGACAGTGCTGACAATACACGCTGCTTCAAACAAAGCATGGATAGTGCAGCTACAGCAACAATTTGAATATTAAAATTCTTCGTCACTTGCCATATTCACCAGATTTGGTAGCCTGAGGCTTTTGTTCCCAGACCTTTAAAAAAAAAAAGATATAAGGAATTCAGTTTGCCAGCAGTGAAGAAGTTTGTGGTTTAGCCTGAAAAATAGAGTGTCCTATTTCCTTTTCTAGGTCAAGCAGAGACGGCAGGAGTGTTTTAATTTAGGAAAAAGGGATAAACACTGTGCCAAATTTCAGCTTTCAAGTAATTTCTTTCATTGTCTGGGTAAGAACCTATGGATCACCCCTTGTATATTATTATGCATGCAAAGACCCTTTAACATGTCTACAACTCTTATCCAAAACCCGAATGGATACACATGTAAACCAATGGATCATTCGAGGTAGCAGGAAAAAAAACACCTGGAGAAGCTGGATCGGTCATCATGCTTCAAGATGGGACCACATGCACCTCGGGAAGACTCCCAACAAACTTCAGAGCAGAGCAGCAAGCAGTTATTGATTCAGCTAAAGTGCTTGAGGAAAGAAAATTAAAAATAGCAAAATTGTTTTCCTTGTGACTGCATGTCAATCCTCCAATCGACTTAGAGGGATCCACGAGACAAGAGAGAGAGAGAGAGAACTGACCCGCCAGCTAAACAGACTCGCAGAAAACAATCAAATTGTTGCTCAACTGGATCCTGACTCACTGCGGCATATCTGGAAATGAGGTAGCAGACAGACTTTGCAAAAAATGGAAAATAGGAGAAACAACACACCCACCCATTGTCATTACCAGAAATCAGAATACTCGTCAAGGGAAAATACAAGGAATTGTGGAGAAAGCAAAACGTCCACAAGACCCTATCAGCAGACTCAACAGAAAGCAGCATACAACAATATTCTGTCTACGAACTGGACACTGCAAGCTCAACTACCACACGCATAAAATAAAGATTGTACAGTCCCCACAGTGTGCCTGTCAGACAGGACCACAAACACCTGAGCACATTCTGTAGACCTGCCCACTCTACCTACAACTTCAAAAAGACACCTGGCCTCAAGAGCAAAGTTTGCAGAGCAAGCTATGGGGAAACATGAAGGACCTGCTGCTGACATGCGAGTTCATAGAGGCAACCCACCTGATGGTCTGATCTGAGCATACGAAACTGAACGCAGAGAAGAAGATTGAAGAAGAAGAATATTATTATATGTATTTGCTATTCATTCAGCACATGATAATAATAGTATTAAAGATAATTATTATTAGTAATAATCTCTCAAACAATTTGCAGTCCCCTTAAGGGGCCCATGACAATATGGGCTGAGCCCCTCTTTCCCCCCCCCCCCCCCCCCCCCCACACATTTTCTTTGTGTCTACGCCACTGATGCCTGATGTGGTGTAAGTTGATTCTTAAATAAGGAATAAGAACATAGTCTTTTAACGTATTTCATGTTATTTCTCTTTGACCATAAATATAGGTGGACAGATGGTGGGCCCGCAGAAACCACACAGCCAACAACAATCTCCGCATTCAGCTCTGAACTCAGCTCCAGTACTGCAGCAGCAGCAAATGCAACAGATGCAGCAGCAGCAGCAAATGCAACAACAGCAGCAACAGATGCACCAGCAGCAGATGCAACAACAGCTGCATCAGCAGATGGTCATGGCTCAACTACCGCAGACCTCACCTCCACGCCAGCCATACTCACCCCCTCAGGAGATGACTTCCATGCCAGCTCCCGCCTACAAGAGCCCACCTCGTGTTAGCCAGCCGGTCACTGCTGTTTATCAAAACACCCTGACAAACCATAATTCCTTTGGTTTCTCTGATCTAGAAGATGTGAGTTTTCTTGTTGACATTGATAGGTCCATTTGTTGAACAGTATTTTGTGTGTGTGATCCTAGAAGAATTTTTCTGCTGTCCAAGTGAAGAGAATATCACAACCAAAGGTGTTTCAATTTCACAAGTTCTAAATTCTGTAAAACAGATGCACACGCAACACTCGGCTTCTGGAACAGGACTGCAGTCCAGAAGTGGATGAACAACCAGAACTTCCCACCAGAGTTTACAGCTGGTGAACAAGAAGAAGAAGAACAAGTTTCAAATGCACACGTCTTGTAAAAAACAAATAAATTGTCAGAGTTCTTTACAGTCCCTGACTAAACATAAGATGTAAAAGTGTATACAAAGCTCTGACCTCCATACATGCATAATATCCAGTTACACTTGGTGCATGAATTGGGAAAGAAAGCGTTCAGAGAACTGTTTTGATAACTGGCAAATGTGGTGTTAATACAAAACTTAACATTTTTAAATCTAATGTCAAATCAGTACTGTTGTATGATATAGAAACATTGAGAACGACAAAGGCAATTACTAATAAACTACAAACATTCATTAACTGGTGCCTATGCAGAATAGAGGGAATCAAATGCTATGATAAAATCACTATTGTGAGAGAACTAAACAAGTTCCACTGGATTAAGAGGTGAAGAAAAGATGCTCGCATTGGATAGGACACACTTTGAGAAAACCTGATAACAGTATAACTAGAATGTCTTTGCACTGGAACCCACAGGGACATGGAAATAAAGGAAGACCAAAAAATGGAGAGAAGGGAGCTAGAGAGTGAATTTAAAAAGATAAGGAGGACATGGGAAGAGCTGCATGCGATGAGTTGGTTGTCGTGAGTTGGTTGAGGGCCTATGCTCTAAAAAGGCAGAGGAGAAGCATCTAGACGCTCACCTGTTGGCTTTAAAGTCTCGCTTTTGAACCTACGTCGAGCTGGATTTTATTTTATTTTCATAAAAAGACCTTACCTCGCAGGTTAACCTGGCTCAAAATGGGTACCTGGTAAATTCCTGGGAAGTAAAGGTGGATGGCATGATGTTGACCACATCACTCATAGAATGCCAATTGATCTTTAAAAAATGCAAGTCCAGCTTCATTTGCTCGATGAGAAAGGTCCCTCACTTTGCAGCCGCTTTTACTTCCCACGCATAGAGGAAGATGATGATGATGATGTATTTGTCTTATGTTGAGATAAAACATATATTGATAAGCTGCTAACCCCCGCCAGCAAGATGGTTTTTCTCACAGACTCACTGTCAGCCATGCAGGCTGTAGAGTCCAAAACTACTGACAGCACACTACAGAGTCTAACAAAGGAACTTGCTATGTTGTCCACTCACAGACAGACAAAAACTCACCTGCAGTGGATTCCATCTCACTGTGGCATCAAAGGCAATGAAAGCACTGATGCCTTAGCCAAGGAAGGTAGCAGCAAACTACGAATCTACTAGCCACTTTCTTTTCTAGAAATCATAATCCATATTAAGAGAAAATCAGAAACAGATTGGAAGACCAACTTAGGTTATAACAATGAAAAAAAAAAAAGAGGATTTCCTCAAACACCTGAGCAGAACAGACCAAGTCACCCAACAAACACTCATGTAAATGAGGTAAAACCCAAACAGCTTTCTGCCTGTGTCTTCCTGCTGAACAAACTCCAGAACCTATCTTGCATGACTGTCCTCTCTTGGCAGAGCTGCGGAGCAACAAATGGTCACACCCAGTCGACCTGACAACTAAGCTTTAGGGAAACCTAAGAGACCTTAAGATGACATCCCAGTTTGTGACCTACAGTGGATTATGCGCATGATCAGACATCATTGAAGAAGAAGGAGATGAAACAGACAAAAAAATCACAAAAAGGGTGCTGGAATGGGAAACAAATGGGTTGAGAAGTATTCTCACAGTATGTCCTCACAAGGTGCTGGTGTAGGCAAAAGTAATTTGCTCTGTGTATGTTTGGCACTGTTGTAGTGAATGTTTGACATTTTATCACTTCCAGTGCATGTCATATTGTTCTTCTTCCGAATTGACATTGTCTTCTCCTCACATGGGAGGTAAACAAAATAGACTCCATACCTCCCTAACGATCATGTTGTAGAAGTCAAAGAAAAAGAAGAAAATCAATAGAAAATAGTTTCCCACATTCCTTTCATTGTCGTCCGCCTCCCTTTCTTTGCAATTAACTTTCCTTTCATTGAATCAGTGGATATATATACCCTGTGTATTTTTTCAGCCAATGGAGGTAGCAGCTCCGCTGTGTGTCCGAAGCGGATGCAGGAATCATGCCAAGGACAACCCAGCCTGGGATTCTGAATATTGCAGCAATGACTGTGTCATTACTCACTGCAGGTATGTGGCTGCTGTTGTTGACCCTAGGGCCAGCAGGGATCATGTGCATTGTTTATTAAAGTGTTTTGTTTTGTTTATTAAAGTGTTTTGTTTTGTTTATTGGAGTATTTTTTTTTATTGGGATACTTTGTTTATTCAGTCATTTTATTAATTGAGGTGTTTTGTTATTGGGATGTTGTATTTATTAGAATGTTTTATTCGTTGGTGTATTTTGTTCATTGCTTTTTGTTTAAAGTGTTTTGTTTATTGACATGTTTTTGTTTTTTGGTGAGTTTTGTCTGTTAAGTGTTTTGTTTATTGGCATGTTTTTGTTAATTGGTGAGTTTTGTTTGTTGAATGTTTGTGTTTAAAGTGTTTTGTTTATTGACATGTTTTTGTTGTTGGTGAGTTTTGTTTGTTGGATGTTTGTGTTTAAAGTGTTTTGTTTATTGATATATTTTTGTATGATGGTGAGTTTTATTTGTTGAATGTTTTTGTTTAAAGTCTTTTGTTTATTGACATGTTTTTGTTTGTTGGGGATTTTTTGTTCGTTGGGGAGAACACGCTAGACAACAATATATAATATTAGTTGTCTAGTGGGTTCTTCTATCTTTCTACTTCTTTCTATAAGTGCCGATCAATACGTTTTCTGTTACTTTATTAATATATAATATTTAACGGCCTCAAGGGTTCCCCCACTGTTTATTTATGTAAACAAACCCAAGACCTGACAGAACTCATGAACTTTTGTTGCCATCTCATAGCCACCGCATTCATAGTTCAGAATGGCATGCATGTCCCTCTCAAGCCTTGTGGTCAACCCATCCATGTGGTTATTGTCTCCCCCTTACATTTGTTTCCATCAGGCTTGTTTATCAACTTGTCTTTGGCTCTGTCTTACAGGGATATCTTCAAAAATTGGGTGGCATCAAGATCGGGCTCTAACTCATACCCAGTCAAGTAACAAGTCCAAGGAGATCACCTGCAGCTTAAGTCACAGCCCGCTGCTTATTTATAGCAAGATCTACAGCACCATCTGCAGTGCTCAGTCTCACGAGTATTTTGTGTCTTCTCTGTGACACCAGACCTGAAGGTTGAAATAGAGGATGATGGATTGTGAACCATTGAACAGCATTTTGGTGTCAACATGTATGTGTCACAAAATACATGTAGGCCTCATGTAAATGTATCTACTTAGGTGCACATGGACATTGACACTCTTGCCTCAGTTTCTGCCTGTCTGTCTGTCCTATTTTATCTGCATTTGTCTCTCTTTTATGTTCCAATCCTCTCCCATTTTGTCTCTCAATGTCACTGTTACCCTCTATTTATGTCATCGTATCTCTTTCACTTATGTTGTTATATAATAAATGATATACTGAGACACGCAACAATGTTAAGACGGGTCAAGCAGAAGAGGTTTTTCTAAGCTGTTGTGTAATTAATATTAAATAAATTTTATTCGGTATTAAGTTAATATGGAAGTGAGTTGTTTGAGATACGCTGCAGGGGTGACCAGAAGAAATAAAATCAGGAATGAGGTCATAAGAGAAAAAGTCGGCACAGAACCAATTCTAAATTACATACAAAGATATCAAATCAGATGGCTTTCCCAACTTTGAGAGAATACCTTGTGGAAAAAGGAGAAGTTCAGCATGAGGTAGACCAAGAACAAATTGGAAAGATAATATCAAAGAAACTCTACAACAGCATGGGGTGTCTATGGCTAGGCAGCCAGAAGAGCGAGAAGCAGAACCTTATATCTCTCTTGACACCCAAAGCGGTAAAAGAGGACAAGAAGAAGTTATATAATTAATTATATAGTAAGTTTGATGTGTCTATGGCTAGGCAGCCAGAAGAGCGAGAAGCTGAACCTTATATCTCTCTTGACACCCGAAGCGGTAAAAGAGGACAAGAAGAAGTTATATAATTAATTATATAGTCAGTTGGTAAATAAAGGTTCCTTTTCCACGCCTTTAGGTGTATTGGGAATATAGGGCTAGACCTATATTTTTATAGAGCCATCAGCACTTGGTGGGTGATGTGGTCAGTGTGATGCTGACCACCTTTACTTCCCAGGACTGCACCTGGTACCCACTCAAGGCTGGGTCAACCTGGGAGTCAAGGTCATTTTTTGGAGGAGAAAAAAAGTCTTGCTCCGACGGGATGCGAACCCACGACCTTCTGAGAATAAATTATATAGTAAGACTCTGAATTTGGTGTCAAGAAAGATTGCATGGAAAAAGATTATGTAATTAACTATTTAACGAGTATTTGAAAACAGCATGAATACACATCATGTAGAAAGAGTTTGTGTAACCAGATTTTTAAATCTTCTTGTCCTTCTTCCTCAAAGAAGTAGCTGGCACATTGTTTTGTGGTTTACAGCAAGGCTGGGATATCCACACCTTTCAGACCAACACACATATCCCCATGGGGCAGTGAAACCCACAGAGGGAAGTATTTTTATATAATTAATTAAATTCAGAGTAGTCTGTAAAGAAAAGTCATACAGGCAGAATGGGTTTAGCTAAACTGTGAAATAATGAATAGTGTCACTACAAAAAGTTTTTTTTTTTTTAATTCACCCCATCTTTGGCGTGAAATGAACACCAACTGACACTAACTCCCACCCGATAATATTGGACTTTGCAGGGGGACTCCCTATGAAATCTTGGAGTCCCCGGATGGGGTGAACTAAAAGTACCTGTGTTTTTGTTGTATTAAACAAAGGTACATTCAGGATATGTAATGCTTGTGCTGCATATCGATGTTCTTATTAAGATCATCAGCTTATGGGATGATGTTTTGAGTGTGATGCATGGGATGATGTATTTATGAGTGTGATGCATTGTTTTAACATTCTATATTAGATGGCTGTTGCTATTTCAGCTTCATAAAAGGTGTAGCATTCCTAATGAACACTGTAGCAAGTAAATGTAAGGCTAGCATGTCAAACTGAGGGTTCCCCGGGGACCATATGTGTCACATTTGTGTTGTCATGAGGGTAGCACGTGACAAATAATTGAAGTCATTTAATAAAAACTTTTACAGTGGGGGATGGGGGGGGGGGGGGTCGTCAAGGGCAGCTGTGCTTACCAGAGTCATAGGTGTGGTTGCCAAGGGTCGCAGGTGTGCTTGCCAAGGGTCACAGGTGTGCTTGCCAAGGGTCGCAGGTGTGCTTGCCAAGGGTCGCAGGTGTGCTTGCCAAGGGTCGCAGGTGTGCTTGCCAAGGGTCGCAAGTGTGCTTGCCAAGGATCACAGGCGGGTTGCCAAGGGCCACAGGTGGGGTTGCCAAGGATCACAGGTGTGCTTTCCAAGGGCCGCAGGCGTGCTTGCCAAGGGTCGCAGGTGTGCTTGCCAAGGGCCGCACGCTTGACATACCTGATGTAAAAAAAAACCTTCTCCATCCTAATGCGCATCGAGCATATTGTACTAGACCGATATTTGTATAGGGCGCTGGGCACCTGATCGCTGATGTCACCATTGCAGAATCCGCGATTACTTCCCAGGACATTAGTGATTAAGTAGGAAGATAAGCTTCTTCTTCTTCTGCGTTCGACATCAGTCATGCTAAACATTGAGTCCTTCCGTCTGGGTCAAAAATAGGATTGCGCGTTTAAGGTCGCCACCGGTCCCCCATAGCTTCTCTCGCAATGTGGATCCCCCGGGCCAGATCCACAGTCTTTGCTGGGAGAGGTAAGGGCAGTGCTGCAGTATGTCCTTTCTGCCTTCCCCACTCCCGCTTGAAAGATAGATAAGATAATAGATAAGCAATAGGCAAAGAGCGGTCTGAAAGAGTGTACAGTCAGGACAAGGAATGGCATTTTGGCTATTCATTGTGACCAGCATTCAGTTTAGTCGTTAACCCTGTTGCCCCAAGAATGCTAAGTCGAGTAACTTCTGGTTGTGGCACAGCCAGGCAAATGCCGACATGTCACATTTTCTGCAGTGACAAATCTCAAAAATCGTTGTTAAATGCCTTTGGTTCTTTGTGACCTATTTAGTGTTTAGAAGGTCTGAATGTGGATATATTAAATAAATATAGCATTTAGAAGGGTTTTCATATAAATAAAATTTTTTTTTAAAGCCAGGCTGACAAAATTTTCCCCGTAAACCTCAGTGTTAGAGGTCACGGCGTGAGTCACCTGATAACAGATTTGTTTTAGATCCTGAAAAAATGCATTCCATTGAATGCTTTACTCTGCTATTTATTGATTACTCCCTTTTTATGTCTTTATATATTTCAAAGCAACAATCTAAGAAATATAGGCAAATAAATTGTTATACCGTTGATTAATGAGTAAATTTTTATACAATTTATTAGTATTAAAACAAAGATTCGTTTGCTAAGGATTTTTTCGGAAATTCTCATGACTCATATTTTTTTTAGCAGTCACGTAGTGAAAGGGTTAAGATTTGTTGCTGCTGTGCATACAAAGATATTTACTTGATGGCTCTATCTATTCAATTAGACGGACTTGGGTGATTGTAAATATTTTCGGACAGAGCCAGCCTTCATTTTAGAGATGTCGTCTAATTGGACTATCATCATTTCATGCATGAGCTCAATATGTTGTCCGATCATTTCCTCTGATTTCCCATGTCTTCTTCTGTGCTTGTCATTAAAAGAGAGGTTGACAAGCTGTTTGTGGTTTACAACTAGGCTGTAGTAGCTGCACCTTTCAGGTGAAAACATCAAATTCCCCTTGTTAGTCATTTTTGTGTGCCATGAATGTTATAGGCAGTGAGTCTGTTGTTTGTTCCCCTGAAATTGGGAGGCTTAACTCACGCACACATTTTCTGAAACCAGGTACTTCTTCTTTACATTCCCTGGCTGCAAACTGCAGCGGAAAATTCTGGTGTTCACCCACCTCTGGACCTTAGTCTTAGAACCTGAGTGTTGCATGCACATGCTTTCCACAGATCTGCCTCATTTGTATGAAGACTCTTGATTCCTTGCCTCTCAGGCAGATGCACTCAACCTTTGAAGCATATCTCCAAGTAGTCGACTCTTACGACATGCTTGCTGTGGAGACAGTGGGTCTATTCTTATTTACCCCACAATAAGGCCCTCGGAACCCACACAAGGACTATAACCTGTTTAGTGTTGGTCAACAGTTATCTCACGCCCCTTACATTTTTTGTTATAACTGACCAAGTCAGCTTAATGTACAATAGATACCAGAAACTGGAAATGAGAAAGCTGATCAACTAGCAGGAAAAAGTGCGACAAAAGTGCAGCCGGATGTACCAGTCACATACCACCCAAAAAAAAAAGAATCATTAAATCGATCTGGAAACCACCAGCCCCAGCAGAAAACTATTTTATTATGGACAGACCAGAACAAGTCATTATCCTCCACCTCAGAACAGGGCACAACCGATTACGTAACCACGTGTACACAAAATTCAAGATAGGCGTATCAGCCATGTGCACCTGTGGAAAGGTGCCCCAAACAGCAGAGTATGTACTACAGGACTGCACCGAATTTGACACATTAAGGCAAACCTTGTGGCCAGAAAGAACAACAGTGGAACGTAAACTCTATAGACCACTGAATGAACTAACGACAGTGAAATTTATACTAGAGACAAAATTGCTGATATAGACAACTTATTTCAGGCGAACAAAAGAAGAAGATACCAGAAAGTGTTTTTACAACAGAAAATGACCCTTATGGGGCTTGAGATATTTTTATACACCAAAGGGCCTCATTGGATTATGTGGCCTGCATCACACTGGACCAGAGGATGTATTGAGAAGTAAAGTCAAACTGGCATGATCTCCACTACACCAGGCATCGAATGCCAGTTGGTCTGTACAAAGGAATCTAAAACCATATGCCTTGTGGGCATGTGAAAAGGGTCATTTTCTTTCGGGTACTTACACTTATTAAGTTTATTTAGGTTCTTGTTTTGAATTGCAGTGAAAATAAATTTCATTTTACACATTGTTGTTCA